AAGTCTCGTAACAAAGTAATAGAAGCAACTGGGTGCCCTTCAGTGGATTCAACTTGTTGTTTACTAGCCGTTTGACCGAGAAAGTAGCGTTGTCTGCCCCTGCTGTAGGCAAGCCCCCAATTCCCCCGAGGGATCTACTTGCTGCAGGAGAACAAGTAAAGCTCCAGCAGCGGCTCATGGAGCACGCAGAGGAGTTCCGAAGACAAGTTGTTCTACGCCTGCAGCAAAATCAGCACCAGCACACTGAATGCTGGCCTACTGTATAAATGACTACTACAGGTGCTGTGGCATGTAGACTGCAGCTCTGATATTACCCGCTGCAGCCTCTGCAGCGTACAAGTATGCGTGTAAATATATGCGTATGCATGCACGACTACGTGTATTTATAAATGGGCTCGCCCACAGCCTGTTTACTTGTCGCATTTGGGAGCCTTTTAAATGTTTTTCTATCTCTTTTTGCCACGAGCTACAAAACTTCGAAGGTCCCCCATACCAAAAGAGAGCAGTTGGAGTCCGGCTAGTTGTGTGACGGGGTGACCGAAAAAAGGCATGGGTGCAGAAAAAAACAGAGCCAGAAGAAGAGAGGCAGAGTTTAGACCATGTAAGCATTAGCTTTGGGGAGTTTTGTAGGGGGATTACTAAAGCGAAACTGGAGCTTTTTCCTCCTCAGACACTGGAAAAAATCGCACGCACACACACAGAGACAAAAGATACAGAACACAGCAAATAATGACACCTCAAACCTCAGCAACCTGAACAACCTTATAAAGCTAACGCAAGGGAGCTAGCAGGGACAAAAAGAAAAAGATCCGAGCAGCAACCAACGAATAATTAGAAGAGCACCAAACGTAATAGCTGCTTTCGAGGATGAGATCCTTTACTTACGCTTCACGTTTATTGCCAACGGAAAATCTGAAACTTCTCACGCTCGACAGCTGCTTAGCACATAGGACGTGCGCTCAGTCGTGCTTGTGCTAAAAGTGTCAACTTTGCACAGTTTATTCCCGTGAAGATGGGGAATTGCATGTACTTGAGCAATTGTAAGTATGGGTTCAAGAATCACGCTTATGCATGAACACCATGCTGTACATTCCTTGGCACGAAAAGCTATAGACGAGAACATTATCTGTGCCGGATGCTTTATGCAATGCTGTTTGCCAACGTTTAGAGGAACTATAGAATCCACTACAAAGGCTTCCCAAGAGTGCCAGCTGAAGCACATCATCCCCAAGAATCCACCTTCAGGCCTTAGTCATCCAGCCCAACCTCATTTGTTCGTTTCAAATCGCTTGTTGTGTTTATTCACAACACGGAAGACCCATAGTTCGTCAGATGCAAGGACTATATAATTCGGAGCTGTTATCAAATTTTTAAAGAAAGCTTTTGAACTAGTCCAGTCAAATCTTGTTCCGCGTAGCATTGCCGCTACCCACAGCCACCAGTTACCTGCCCCTTGCAACTTCGCAGCCTCGCAAAACTGACTAGCCCTAGGGCTCAAAGGTTTAAAATGACCTTACGAAGGCATGGAAAATATCTTCGCCTGTCGATTATTGTCTTCTTTGCTCCTGTCTGAACATAGAGCAGATTGTGTAGATACGCGTGGCGCCCTCCATCTCTACTGAGGCTGTCGCATGTTCTGCGTAGGAGGGCAGCAAGATCTCCTGCTTTGCGTTTCAATTTCAGGGGTGTGGCACACCAGGAGGAGCTTCTTTAGTGAAATGGATAACACTCTCGTTGTTTGTTTGCACACAATAGCGTTTGCCTTCTGCCACAAGCTAGACCTGTAGGCAATCAGAAGGAAGTTCACTTACGGTTCATGGTGTACACATAAGGTGGAAGTAAGTAATTAAATGTTAAGTGACCTCCTACGAATGATTTGGCTGGGTTGACTCTTCAAGTGCTTGGCATCCGCCACACCGAATGGCAACAGCTAGCCCACGGACGTCGTGACTTCGGAAGCCCCACAGTTCGTTGCATAAGACTGAGAAGGTCTATACACACAAAGAGATTATGCTTTGTCCGTAACTAGCATCCAAGGAGGGCTGCACCGGCTACCTGCTCACTGCCGGCCCCCGCCCTCCTCCCTCCTGTGTCGTCCAGGGGGAGTCAATTGAAGGTTTGCAGTACTTTAGGGATTTGCTTGATTTATTGTATGCTGGTCTTTGTGTTTAATCCTGTTCATACGCCTGTGTAGGCAGCGCCGTCTTCACGCAGCCCCTTGCATCGACGAACTGCCGCGGGACACCATCGGCCCGGCCCGGCTCAGCACTCACTCCAACAGGCAGAGACTGGAGGGCTACCTCTGTCGTCCCCGTTTGTTAGCACACATTTAAAACTAATTTTTGGGATCCATAATTCATTTTAGTCATGGCAGAAGGGTTACTTTCTCCCTCCCCCTTACAGTGGACAACAGCCTGTCGACTTGCGTGACCCACACTGTGGTTCCCAGGGTCTGTTCGTAGCGAGGCTGCCTCCTCGTCATTGAATTGAAGTACTTCAGTTCCATTTGAATATATTTAACAACTCTTACCAGGTGAGGTCCTTTACTGCTGGTGCCATGACGGGCACGGGGGGCCGCGCTTGGCAGGCCACAGCCACGCCGAGCCGCCCCGCGCACCCTTTAAATCCAAACTGCACACAAAGCCCAGCAGACCACCTGAAACCTCATATTCAATCTACTCCTCACGCTGAGGGACCTACTCAAGGCGCTGCTGCCCCCATTCCGTGGAATCCCGCATGCCGCAGCCATCCTCCGCGTCGTGAACTGTCCTCTGCGGGGGTTGGGTCTCTCGAGCTAAGTACAAACTCGCCACTGCCTCCTTCCAAGCCTCGTTCCATCCTCCGTGGACCACGACGGCCCTCAGATGGGCCCTGTCAAGGCCATCGTTGGCCCTCCGACTCGGCGGAGATACAGAGAAAACCGACATCCTCTTACGAGGCGCCCCGAGATCGGCGATTGTCAGTATCACATGAGGGAACCGACTACAGGGCCTGGTTGGATGGGCCTAGCTGGTCTGGGGGAGACGCGCGACTAGGGTTCCGGGATTCCGCCGGTAACCCGCCGGATGATGGCCCCTGGGACACTGAAACCGGCTCCGACTCCTACACAGGCACTGATAGCTCCAGCACGGAATCTGACAACGAAGCCACAGGAAGCATGCAGTTGGCAATGGCCCATGAGGCGGCCCGCTGGTTTCCCCACACAAACATTTACGCGAAAATGAAGGCCAGCGCCGAGTCTGCAGTCGACAAAGAACAAAAGTACAAGGACGCAGGTGCGCGCACAGACAAACTTTCACATAACACTATCGGAGCTTGTCATTTTCTAAACGTATTCATGAATGCATATAAGCTGTAGATCCCTCAGGTGCTTCCGACGCGTCATCCTGCATGATGCACGCTGCGGTGCCGCAGTAGCCTTCACTGCATGTAGCGCTCGGATGCTACTGCTTTTATCTGTCCTTTATTTTTTTTAATTTAATTTTGCTTTTCCTCTTTGCGTTGCTTATGGATGGGCGCTGATAGGGAGTGTGCATGTGAGCGGGTGCAGTAACTGGTCGCGTTCGGATTGGTGGTTCAATTTTCACAATCTTTCTCTTTATTTGTGTCACGCAAAGACAGAGCAGTCTTGAAGACATCCCGTTGGCAGCCTTTGAAATGGGTGGTCTTCGTTTTATCGCGTGGGCATTCCTCCTGACATGCTTCTGTTCCCTACCCATTATGATCGCCGACATTGCACTTGGTAGGTCCAGTGACTCCGCGAATCCTTCCTACTCACCCAGTGCAGATTAGCACTCTCTTCTTTTAGGGAGGAGCTCAACTCGCCATGAAGTACCATGTCGTACAGCGACAAGTGCTTAGTTGGTGCTGCTTTGTTTGAATCGCCACCTCTATCCTGCTGTTCTTGATTATTAATTGTCCTTAAGCTGCTGTTGCTGTCGGTGCTCACTCAGGTCAGTCAACGCAAGGTTCGGTGCTAAGTGCTTTGAATAGCCTGCACAAGCGTCTTCGGGGTTTGGGTTTGGCGATGGCTGCGAGCTGCACTGTGGCAGCAGTGCTGCAGACATACGTAACTTGTCTTGTCTTCCATTTTCTTACCACCTCCATAAGCACTCTGTCAAGTTGGATGAGCAATGATACCTTCCGAAACATATGCGCAAATCTGTCGGCTGCAGAGTAAGTTATCAACTGATTTTAAATGTATGAGTTTCGTTTGTTGGACTCAGTCTCAAGATAACGAATAATAACTCACGGAGAATAGCGAGCGAGACGCAGAATCAGTCTAGAAAAAATGAATTCTTGTTCTTTTATTTTTGTGCGTTCAGATGCGCTGCTGACCCCCGATGCGCCGTGGACTCAACAGGTGGCTGTTTGGCTGCACTAGAAGTTTACATTAACGCGTCTTGGTTACACCTACTGACCTCAACAGACACGACGACAAGGGTTTATAAAGTGGCATGCTGCCTCGCCATATGGGTACTTGTCACATACGCCCTAACTCAGGTTAGTACCGGATTTTTCCCTTTCTGCGTTCTTTTGGTTTTCGGCAGATGCATTTATGCTGCCAAGCATTCCTAAAATCCAAATATGGATTGGCTTTGTGATGTTCCCCACAAGCACAAAATGCGCAAAATTTGAAGCTCACCTCGAGTGTTCACAAAACACCAATAGCATGTTCCGCATGCACGAGTAAGCGGTGCATCAAGCACATTCATGAAGCCTGCAGATTACTATGTAGTGTTTGCTACAGCATATTTTACATTACTTGTCTGTGCCTTCATTTGTTCAAACGCGCACATAAATTTATATGCACATACATAAGCTGACTCAGTTCTACGCTTGCCCGGCTGTCTGTGTGGAGGCCATGCAAAAGGGCTTTTCCCATGTATTTCATTGCTGTATTGCTGTGCTTTCTGCAATTTCAGGCGCCTCGTGTGTTGGCTGCGGTCGGCGCTTGCGTCTTCCCATGTACCTTTATTCTGCTGCCTGCGTTGGCGCTGATGGAGATGACTTCGGCAGAGCAGAAAAAACACTTGACAGACATATTTAAAGTGCTTAGCCATGAGATGCCGCTTCAGGAAGAATATTTCTGTCTGCTGATGCTGCCGTTACTCCTCTATATGCCTGGCGATGGCGCAGCCCTGACGGTGGCCTCTTTCGACAAACCCTCACACAACCCTGTTCTTATCGGCTTCGTCTGTCTCACCTCAAAGTGGCTTGTCGCATACATGCTCTTCTACCTTTTATTCTACGCAGAGGGACTCTCCTCAGACCCACAGTGTGAGATGCCAGACTGGCGCAGTCCGCACGTTGCCGCAGCGTCAGCCGCACAGCTTCTTCAGGGGAGTTCTCCAGAAGTGGTCCTTTAAGGGTTATGAGGTTAATAGAGCCTCGAGCTGTAAAATTCAGATTCTGCGCTAAACTGAGGGCTTCCCGCCTCAAGGGAGATATCAGCTGGTTAGAGGATACACTGCTGATTATTTTTTTATGGTGTTCTTGTATACTGAAAGTGGCAACTGAAACTAGTTTGTGTTTTCGCTTGTAGATATTAGGTATGCAGCTTACATGCTGGGTAGGCCATGGTGGTCCCTCTACGATGCGTTTCTGGTTGTGCGTTGGATGGTAGTCGTGTATGTTTATTACATGTCTGCTATGCTTTGATGAGGATTTGAGCAGTGCGTGTGTATGATTACTGGGTTTGTGGTGAGTGTTTCCGCAGCATTCAATGGTATGTTTCTCCCAAGCATGTTTCGGTGGATGACAGCTGGGGGACCTGGAAGCACGGCTTTTCCTGTAATGTGGTATGTGGTGACCCGCATGTGGCCTGAAGCGTGGTTTCTGGGACTCATATCTTTTGTGGCGATATTTGCGCAGCGGCTTTCCAGCTGCTGGTGTCTCATGATGGTACAGTGGTCCGTCCTGCAGGACATGAGGTGGCTAACAGTCCCGCCCAAGGTGCACGAGTGTCTACCGGATCCGCGAGGCTTACTTCGTTCTCTACCCCGAACCGCTGAGTCCAGGGACAGAGACATGAGTGTCCCCAGGAGGGATGCAGATTCTTATCCTACGAATGCTGCTCTAGGGCCTCCGCGAAGCGATGCAGTGCCCCAGGAAAATACCTCAGGGCTCTCCCAGAAACCTGGAAGTATCCAGAAAAAGCCACTAGAGGGTTGCCACGTGAGGCAGCGCCGGTCCTCTTCGAAAGATGAAAAAAATTCTGGCAGTGCCAATGGCAGGGGCGCAGGAAGCCGATTGGTGTGGTCCCTCAACCGCCTGTTGCGTAGGAGTGCAGGGGATACCTATGAAGATGTGGATCCTCAAGATATGTTTGATGCGAAGCAGGAGGCTATGACCAATGCGCCTCTGTCCTGGTGGGGTGGGCCGGACGCTGAAGACCCCGAAAAGCATCGGCGGGGAGAGGCAGGAAAAAAGGGCTACAGGCTGAAAAAGTTTCTGCTGGCGTGCATTGTCTACGGTCCCCCTGCTACTGTGTCAGCCCTTCTGGTTTGCTGCAGCCTGCCTGCTGACACGGCGGAGAACCCGCGGTTTACAGCTCCACTGCATTTCCACATGATGCGACACACAGATATGTTCTTACGGCTTCTCTTGGGGAGTGCTACGTGCATTCATTTGGCATGGTTGTTCGGTTTCAGGGAACAGGCGCAGCGGGTCGGGATCCTACCGCTCTTAGTACTGGGTTTGAGCTCTGTATCTATGATGTTGGTACCACTGGTGCGCGTTCTCTTTTCCGTTGACCTGTCGGTGTCCCTTGTCATGCTGCTGTGGCTACCTTGGGCCTTCATTGGACTTACCATCGTAATTATATCCGTTCAGACGGCCCACAACCTGCGAGACATCCTGGAGCAGCAGAGGGGACCCCCTGCAAAACGCAATAGACGCCCACTAGGATCGCGTGTACCCCGCAAGCGCCTCCACCGCTCTGGAGCCCGTAGCCTATCCCTCCGCGCGCGGACAATGCCTTTCCTAGCACGTGATGGCGGCTCTTCATGTAACTCTCGCGAGGATCAGCTTTTCGTTCACTCCAAGAGTTGGTCTCTGGAACGTCATGGCTCTCTTCTCTGTATGCGAGATGAATCAGTACCTCCAAAAGCTGCTCATTCGCGCCTTCTGCAGCCCCAGAGGTACGCCTCAAAACATGGCCACTCTCGGCAGCAAATCCGAAGGGCCGCCTGGGTTCAGGCGCGGGTTCGAGAGATGTTTACCGTGATTAGCTTATTTGTGCGCTTGCTGCGAAGCAACCTCTACTGGGCTTTCATCGGGAATGTAGAAATTTTGCGAGCCGACCTGAACATGGCGCTATCTGGGAATCCGTGCCGGCCTGTGCCCATGCTTTGGGGTTGGCTTTTCAAGTTTGTTGCAACTCCCTGGTTGCTCGTGGAGCTCGTAGAACACTGCGTTGGGACCTTCCCCAAGGCTTTACAACAGGCAGAAGGCTTCAGCGTAGCTACGGCTTATATTCTCTTCGGTTGGACCATTGTAATTGTCTCCATCATTGTCTTCGGTAAGCACAAGAGACACTACACCACGAGTCCACAGCCTTCGTAATCCCTGGACGCTAAATTAGACTCTTGACAAAGGATACTCGTGAAGCTGGCAGGAGGCAGAACGAGGTTTACTGAGCTCAAACAATGATAGCAAAGGCAGTTCCTTACACAACGATAACATATAACGAGTCGAAAAGCGCCCTTTAGAGGACTCACTCATATGCTTGCCCTTTTAGAAGCTGTTTAGTTCATATAGTCGAAGCTTTGGATCCTGTACGTCGATAATCAGTATTGCTGTTCGTGTTTCAAAACTCATGCAAAACGTAAGTGCTCGTGGCGCCTCCCGGCGTGCGGACGCCGCTTCCGGCTACATGAACTCAACAGTGCACCGCAATGCTTACGCAATTTGTGCAAACGCAGGCGCTCTATTCCCTGATGCTTTGGAACCTCTCCTGCCTTCTCGTACGCTAGAGTTCCCACGGTGTTGGGTTCCTCGGATCTCGTGGCAGTGGCGTTTGCCGCTGCTGGAAGATATAAACCCCAGATTGTTTGGCGGCAGTCGACGTGGAGGGGCAAGACAAAAAGGGACGAATCAGCGAGGGGCTGGCAAACGTTAACTGCAATTTGAGTCCTTATGAGGGCAAAGCAGAGCAACAGAATGTGGGGGATATGCAGAAGCCTGTAGAGGAAGGATGGGTTCTAACTATGTTGGGTGCCAAGTATGTGGCATTTGTGCCAAGCCACGATTTCCGCTTCACACAAAAAGCCCATAACAACGTGAAATACTAGACCTGCATCTGCAATACGACAGCAGAAAGGCTAGTCCACGAAAATAACGCAAAAAAAGGAATGGCAAAGGGCGGCTGAGGACCGGCAGGCTTTTTGAAAATGTGGTATAGAGAAGTCAGCTGTAGGAGGAGGCACGGAAGAAGACACACGAAAGGGGAAAAAAGGGAGAAACAACGAGAGCTTGGAAAAAAGAAAGGAAAATTGAGGAAAATGAAGCAAACACGTAGGCAGGGCTCCAAGTCCTTGCGGGACTTCCTTGAATATTTTGAAGTCCCTTGGCGTTTTACGCGTTTTTGCCGTCACTGAGGTCTGACGCTACTGATGACTTGATGGTTGTGGTGATGATGATGACGTGATGGTGATCATCATTGAGGACGACGAGGAAGAAAAAGGTCTGATTGAGTGAGGTAGTGAAGACGATGTTACGATCAATTTGTCTTTTGCGAGCAGTAAACACCTCATGGCCTCTGCCGAAGGCGACTGTCCTGCCCGTCTTGCAAGAATTGACGCCCTGCACAGCGGCAGAAAGACGCAACCGAACTGTTTTCCTCTGTCAGTATGTCCTAGACCACTTTTGCATGCATTTTTTTCTTCAGCCCCTAATTGACAGCAGCATATGCTTGGAACGCTGCAAGCATAAGGTCATTCACAGGCGGCGAGCGAGCTCAAAAGACGTGGCAGCAGCGGCGAAGGCAGGCAGCCCGTAGGGCTTCAATGGCTGCTTTGAGCATACCGTGACACCGAACAGTGCGGATGAGAGGCACACATGGAGTGAGGCTCATTTTTGCTTGCAGCTGATGCTCATTTTGCCCATTGTATCTCAAAACGTATACAAGGTGGACAGAGTGTAGGGCAGCTAACTAGCTTTTACAGATTTGTCATGTGGACTTGACGGCGCCTGCAGCAGCTGCAGCAGTAGCAAGAGCAGCAGCAGCAACAGATGCTCGTGCAACAAGAACAGCAACAGCAGCAGTAACAGAAGCTGCTGCAGGAGAACAAACACTAGCAGCAGCAGCACCCGCAGCAGCCTCAACCGCAGCAGCAGGACGCCGGGAGCAGCCGCGTTACCATTCATTGTTGGTGGCACTAGGATCCAAGGGAGTCCTGGCGATCCGTTGATGGATATATTTGCTCGGGCCGATTTCGCATGTCTGTATTTATTTTTATTCTTTAGAATACCAAAATGTATGTGTTTGAAATTATTTAAACCGCTGCTTCTAAAACGCCAACGATATTCAGTGCGGCCTCCAACCTTGTCCTGCGGCCCGCAAGCGCCGTTGTACTGGTCAGGGTCACTTCGTGGTGAGGCCTCACTCTGGCTTGTGTGACACGTCTTGTGCATAAATTGAATGAAGTAAATGACTATCATCCAATATCTCCCATATCTATAGACTAAATTTTGTAGGTACACAGCGGGGGTTCGACGATTTTTTGGCACAAGGAAGTCCCGTTTTGTTGCATATTAAAAATCGTCGAATAGTTGGTGGTGGTTCTGTCGTGGCTCTATATGTGTTTGTTTGCGTGTATGTCACATGTATAATGTGTACATAAGTATGTGCACAAACACATACGGCTCTCACTCCTGCAACTGCGGCAGCGTATGAACTTGGTAATTTATCTTTGCTTCCTTTTATATCACCAGTGGGGACCTCATGAGGAGAATTGCCCATGCTTGTTCTGTCATCATAGCTGTCAGGAAGAGCCCGTGCCCCGCTGCAGGGTTAAGTAGATTCCCAAGGTGGACAATGCCTCCTGGCCCCCAATCCCCTCAAGGGCATTAGAAATGTGTAGCCACCTTATAAAAGTTAGCAAAGACATTCTTATAAACGCGCAAACTGTGATATATTGTGCGCCCTTAAAACAGACAGCAGCACATGAGCCTCAGTTCCAGACCCTTAAGTGACACATCTGCCCCGCAAAACTACCGCTTAATATCTGTGCAGACTCATGTCTATTCCATAGGCAGTCCAAGTAGACTGAAGAATTCAACAAGGCCTTAAGCAGGCTGCTGGTGGAGCTCATCAGGGCTTCACTTCTGCGTTCACTTGTTTTACGAGCATGTGCAATTCTTGATCTGCGAACGGGCAGAAGCCTTCTATAGTGTACGTATCCTGCGAAGTACAGAAAGGACTGCCGTTGCTCTGCGTTTATACAAATGGCTTTTTAAGAACTCTAGTTACCTCAAACGAAAAACTTTCTTTACTCCTGCTAAGCACACGGTTCTATGCAGCGCAGTTTTGCAGCAGCAGATGGTGAGGGCAACGGAGAAAAAAACCTTTTCGAAAGCTAGTATCAAAATGTAGGCGTAAACAGCAGGCACACATACAAGCATGATCTCTGAGTACGTCAATATCATCAGCCATAATGGCAGGACAGATATCATGACAAAGCCCACTTATGACGAGTAAACAGACGTGAGCGGAAGCATCCATTAAAATTTGAATATCGCGCGCTTGCCTAGCAAAGCTGCAAAACATGGGAAACTAGGAGCGAAAATGATTAGTGCGTTTCGGTACTGCGCAATCACACAATGAGTATTATCTGCTCTTGCCTGTCCTTTCATATGGCTTTGAACGAAAACGCCCACTAGGTCCCTTAGCCTGCTGCACGTAATTCGTGAGAACGGGCTTCTACCCAAATGTTGGACCTTAGAATCCCCTTTGCACTAGCTCCTTCGGGATGAAGAAAAAGTAGCATCAGCAGCATCAGCTAAATTCGAAGGAAGGACGTAACACTTCACCAGACACCAGCGTGTCCGCTTGGTTCAATCACCATGAAACACCAAACGGAATATGACTGAGAGATCTTTCCAGCAGAAACGGCACAACGGCAGCAGCAATAGGCTCAGCAGTTTTGAGGAGTACCTGCGTTTGCTGCCAAAACTACTTCTGAACTCGTCACCTTCAATGTGCACGTATAAAGTGCTCAGTTGCTCAGTATTACTGAGCACTTAGTGGCACGCCGCTGCATGTTGGCCAGAAGCCTAGCATTCTTCTTAAAGCTTCTGCTAGCGTGTCACACGCCCTATCTATCAGCGGTAGCAGAAGCATCAGCAAGCAGAGAAAACTACGTACAACAGCATGGTTCTTGGTTTCCCAACGCATGAGGCTGCTGGAGTTCATCGATGCACGCTGATGCCTCTGAGTCTCTGGGAAGGCAATCTGTAGACAAGCAGTTAGAGTCCCGGACAAAGGTGCGAAACTTGGGAAGCATAGGGTGAGTCAAAGTAATGAAAGGTGACATACCTTCCTAGGAGACGAAGTGCAGCGTGTGCCAGCAATGCTAGAGGCTCTGCGGTTTGAGCTCAGCAGCCGTAGGGCAGAAAACGAGCAATACCAGCACCAGAACCTCGTCAGGATGCACAGAATGGCCAAGCCGCTATACTGTCTGGGCTTCCTTAGCATTCTTCTGTTTCGTAGAAGGAGAACAAACATCAGAGAAGAGCCTGGTTACTCTTCTTTTTGCTTGCTGCTGCAGGCTGCAATGAGAAGCATCCCCACTGCTGCGTGCACCACCGTGCGCAGAGCGCGGGCTGCCTAGACAGGCAAGTACTGGGAAAATCCTCCGAGCAGCAAATTGGATAGCACACTGCCCGGAAGTGGGGAAACAAGACAAGAGGCAGCAATGGAACCCCTCAGGCTCCAACAAGGTCATGCAGATTATAACCAGCGCTGCAGGCTTCGCCTCTGCCATTTCCGCGGAACACGCTACGTTGCAACAAATCTCCAAGGTATTCACGTTCTGTGTGCGGGCAAAAAGCAGCACGGAATCCTAAGTAATCTTTATGCAGCAGCTCTAGCAGTGCATTGTCAGCAAGAAGCTGCTTGGCGTGCGAATTTATCGATGTGCACAAATTGCATAGGTCAGTATTATGCGAAGCAGAACACAGTGCTACAGCAATATAAGCAGCTTTAGAAGGAAATTTAGCTGAAACTGCGGCGCTCAGTGACCTCGGTACTTAGTGAGATAACAAATGCTGGGCAGCATCTCCAGCAACAGCAAATGATTTGCTGCGGGTGCAGCAACTGCCGCCGGGCTGCAGCTGCAACGCACGCGGAAGCGTTACACCATCTGTATTCCCAGACCTGTGAAAGCTTAGCAATAGCAGGGCAGCCATTCACTTGCCAATTTGCTTTGCATTACCAGTGGAATGCCTCCGCAACTCTGGTTTCAGCAGCCATTATTGTGTGGATTATGAGCTGGAGAAAGCCAACGGGCGCGACTGTTCTCTGACGAACATTTGTGAAAGGCTGAAGGATCCCAGCGTGCAAAAATCCTAAAGTAGGGAGCTTGCTTGTGGTTCGTCAGGCAGACGCTGGCGGGCAGATGCTTTGTTTCGTCAGCTGGGTGTGTGGGTTTACGGGGAGCAGCCCCAGCACCAAACAAAAGCTGCCTCTGTTAGGAAAGGCAGGAAGGACGAAGCGCGCTAACCACAAAAAGTTGAGGAAGCGTTCAGAAGGCCTGCAAAGCCAAGTCTGCGTGGTGCTTCCAAGACAAGGGGACTATCAAACAAAGCAATCAGGATCATTCCAGGCAAAAAAAATGCGTTTCTCACTCCTCATAAGGAACTACTGAAGTAGAAGATTCTATACTGCAAAAAAATTCCCGCGGATTGAAGCCAGGTCCCAATTTGGGCTACGGCTATCATTACTCCCGTACACTTGTGAATGAGGCCCTACGGGGACGCAACCGCATGTGAGGAGGGCATTCCCAAGAGGCCAAATAACTTCTCACTTGTATGCCGTGTGCCAGGTAAGGTGCAGGGGCGTTTTGTATGTATATATGTGTATGTATATGTTCTGCCCTGCAAGCGACGTGACCCCATGGT